AAAAAAAAAAAAAAAGGAATAAAATTCTGTCACATGCTACAACATGGATGGATGTACCTTAAGGACATTATGCTAGGTAAAATAAGTATAAAATAAGCCAGCCGTAAAAGGACAAATATTGTATGATTCCACTTACACGAGGTACCTAGAGTAGTCAAATTCATGGAGGCAGGAAGCAGGACGGAGGTGGTCAGGGGCTACGTAGAGGAGAGCACAGGAAATTATTGTTCAGGGAGCACAGAATTTTTGTTTGAGAAGCTGAAAATGCTCTGATGTTGGGATAGTGGTGATGGTGTGCGATTGTGAATGTACTTCATGTACTACCAAATTATACACAAAAATGGTTAAAATGCTCAATTTTATGTTATGTGTATTTTTGCCATGATTTTTTTTTTAAAAAAGAGTAAGGTGGCCGTATGCGGTGGCTCATGCCTGTAATCCCAGCACTTTGGGAGATCAAGGCAGGCAGATCATCCCAGGTTAGGAGTTCGAGACCAGCCTGACCGACATGGAGAAACACCATCTCCACTAAAAATACAAAATTAGCTGGGTGTGGTGGCACATGCCTGTAATCCCAGCTACTCGAGAGGCTGAGGCAGGAGAATCACTTGAACCCAAAAAGTGGAGATGGTGGAGGACTGAGATCATTGCACTTCAGCCTGGGCAAGAAGAGCAAAACTCTCTGTGGCTCATGCCTGCAATCCCAGCTCTTAGGGAGGCAGAGGTGGGAGGATAGCTTGAGCCCAGGAGTTTGAGACCTGCCTGGGCAATATAGTGAGACCCCGTTCTCCACAAAAAGGAAAAAAACAAACAAACAAAAAAGACAAAAAATCAAATAAAAATTAAAAAAATAAAAAATAAACAAAGAGTAACAACATCTGCATCTCTCTCTGCATACTACCATGGCATTTTCACAAATGCCAAAAGGGCCACAGGAATTCTTCAACATTGGGACTGTATCGAGCTGAAAGAAGCAACCTAAGCCCACAGAAGTGGAAGTGGCATCCTCTACTGTGATGAACTAAGCAGGGAGCAGAGGAGGACACTTTAGAAGCGGCGACAAAGGTCAGAGGAGCCCGCTCTCAGACTGGAGATTTTGAAGGAAACCCACAAACAAAGAGACAGAAGGACCCTCAGAAGCCACTTAGCAGCCTTCTAGTGTTACGGCCACCAAAACACAATGCAGAGAGGGGAAAGGACTTTGCTCAGAGTCCTGTGGTGACTCAGTACCCGAGCTGGGACTGGCTTCCAGGCCACCAGAAACACAGTTCTATAGGTGTGTACTCCTTGACTTCTGAACACTAACTATAAACAATAAGAGAGTTCTCCTATTTAAACAATTTTTTTCAAATTGTTCCCAAAACATTCCTTGCCAGTTGAAGACACAACAGAGGAACAAGTCAGAAGACTGTGTCAACAGAAAATCTGGCCGGGCGCGGGGTGGTTCATGCCTGTAATCCCAATCCCAGCACTTTGGGAGGCTGAGTTGGGTGGATCACTTGAGGT